CCCTCGTACTCTCACCTGCTTCTCCTCTCTCTCCATCCTCTTTTCCACACCATGTCAATACCAACGTGCAAAAGTCACCCTGGCAACAGAGAGGCAGCAGTCGATAGAGAAATAAATAAGCAGAAGAAAAGGGAGAGAAGTGATCGAGGGCAGAGGCTGGTGATTCACAGGGTTAACTACAGGCCAACATCTCAGAAGCACACTCTAAATGCTGCAAGGTCTACAGGGAGTGAGGCCTCTGCTTTCTTTTGCAGTCTTGGTATGCACGTCTGTATTACTTGTTTTCTCTGGGTTGTCATTATTCTTTCCCTCCATCTCCCAACCTTTTTGTGCTCTCTCCTCCCTTGTGTAATATCTCTATGTTCCTTCTACCCGCCCCCCTCTCCCCACCAACCCCCATGGGGACTGAGATGAGAGCACACAGGCACTAGGGGTTGTTGAAACCTTTTTGGACAGAGGCGTCACTTTATATTTACCAGTGTTTGTTGTTTCTGTTTGGGGAGAACCTGACACATCATTAGTGCTGAGTCTTCAAGACCTAAAAAAGCTTTCTGGCCTCTCATTGACTCGCACTAGAAAATACACACACATACAGACGAACCTAGACATATGCAAGGACTTCAGCAGTGAGTGGCAATCCACAGGAAAAGAGCCACAGGCATGCAGGAGGGGGACAAAAGGGCTTTTGTTGTTTAGTGTGAATCCTCTAGCCAAGTCATGACAGCTCCACTATCCTGCATGTGTATTTCTGTATGTGTTTGGGCCAAGGGTGGGTCAGTGGAGGCCTACACATGGCTCCTATCAGCCGGTGCCAGAACTCCAAAAATGGACAGCCCTTCCAGATCCGCCACGGACTCACAGACAATCGACGGTTCTGTGTTTGAGACGCAGGTGGGGTGTATTTCCTGGACGTGGGACTGATTTTTCAGGCCCCGGGCCAAACAGAAGGGTGGCCTTTGTCTCTAAGCTCAATGACACTGCTGACTAAGAAGGGACTGAAGGGCAGTGGGAAGCAGGCGGGAGTGGGCTCTATTTGTGCATGTTTTCCAAAAGCTCTCCTCATCCACCGCTCCCCAGCAGATGTAAATAGAATAGTGATTGAATGCATGATGAGCTAATGTGGTGTGTCTGTGTCTCTATGAGAGGGGAGCACAAAGAACTCTTGTGTGTATTTTAACTGCCATCCATGGTGCAGACTGTTACAAAGAAGGAAGTCAGTATGCTGTTTTTCTTTCATAATCTTGAGCTTTATAATCTTTGCAAATACTTTGCACCAAGAAACCATGGATATATTCTTGTTTTATCAAATTATGTTTCTTTAACAACTCAGTCTTTTTTTTCTGCCTGCAGGTCAGTGACTTCCTGTCTGGCCGCTCCCCACTCACCTTGGCACTGCGTGTAGGTGACCACATGATGTTCGTCCAACTCCAGCTGGCGGCACAGCAGTCCGGCGGTCCCCAGCTCCAGCACAGACACCTCATCACCCGGAGCAGCGCAGAGACTGCAACGGGACAGCCCACAGGGCAGCCCCGTGTCCCCCACCCTCACCCACATTCCCACCATCACCCCCATCATCCACACAGTCACCCCATCCCCCACGTGTCCCAGCCACACCCTGTACCTTTGTCCCCCTCTTCTCCAAGCTCCCCTTCCTTCTCCCTGCCCTCCACGCACCACCAGCCGCTACTTCCCATGTACCACCAGTCACCCCCCTCCACTCACTGTAGCTCCCCTACTCTTCCGCCCCACTCCCCTTGCCCATCCCACATCCCTGGAGGTCTTTTCCGCTCTCCAGCCCATCACCATCATCATCACCACCACCACTATCACCAGCCTTCCTCAGGCCAACCCAGCCATGACATAGGCCAGGCCAACCCTGTAGCCCCTGTCCTCTGCCCTGAGGTAAGCCTAAAATATACTGGTGGCAGTCTTTATTAGGTATTTAGCAGTGTTGTAGTATTTGTGTCCATTACTCGAGTTCAGATTTTCAGGACTCGTGGCTCAACTTGGACTTGAGCACTGATGACTCAGACTTGGACTAATTCCACTGCGTTCGGACTCTGAAGTTGGAGACGAAGACTCTGACTTTTTACTTTCTTTCTTTTTTTTTGGTAATAGGCCATAACAATTTAGCATAAGTTATTGATATTAAAACCTGTTCACCTGTACCATGCTCTGTCCAGCACAATTGAAGCATACACTCTGCCTTTCTTATAGGAATTTTAAGTATCAGATTGCTGAGAAATATAGTGATGCAGTGCACTGATAGAAAGGTTGGAATATGAAATGGTGAGAGCTATGACAAATGTTAAACACATGTAGCCCTTGGTGACTCTGACCTGTGTATTGGGGATTGGATTCAGACTTGACTGAGACTCAATTTGTACTCAGCTGAGGTTATTCTTTGGTGACTTGGGCTTGACTCAGACACAAACACTGGGGACTCACAACTTGACTCAGGCTCAAAGTTTAGTGACTCAACCACAACACTGGTTATTAGTTATTAACTTATGAATGAACAATGGAGGGGATGAGTTATGACCTGACTACCATGCACACACTTCAATCATCGGCCATAAAATTGCTTTGATTAGAGGGATATCCTAGGAACATGAGGCTGAACCCATGGCTTACTCAGGTCTGGAGAAGGTTTGCAACAAGATGTGTGTGTTTGTGTTTCTAAACCACAGTGGAGTTTCAGTCTGCTTCACAAGTACATACAAACACTCATAAATAAGCCAGGAGGGCATGACACCAAATGAGCAGTGAGATGTACGAGGTAAAGGGGACGGTAGATAGGTAGATAGCCTGAGAGGAAAAGAAGGCAAGAGAAGCAGATTTAATCAGTCAGCTGTTTGTTCATGTGAAGACTGATTATTAATCTCACTGTTGTTAGTTATTTATCATTAACCTTCCCAACCATTCATTCAACTTTGGATAACTCCAGTCATCTAACACACACTTACTTCTCTCCACCATCCAAATTTATTTGCTGTTTATACTTTCGCTTCCTCACTGGGCTCCAGCCTATGGAAAGAGAATAAGAACCAGATGTCAGTAGACTCTGTGGTAGAATTGGTTCACAACAAGAAAAACTGAAAGGCAGACCAGTTTAGTAGTTAAAAAAAAAACAGAAATGGCTATTCCTCATATGGCTTTTGCATGTGCGTCAAACACAAACACAGAGACCTTTAACTGGATTTCACTTTCGGGTGTCAGCTAAGTGATCCAGGTTAAGCCAAGGTGAAGAAGCAGGGTTGCAAGTTTGGTCCAATCTCAAGTTTAAGATATCCTCTGTGTTTTGAGGCTGCAGTTTGGCAGAAGGCTCAGGTTTCCTGCTTCCTGGGGTTTTTTATAAACATCAGCTTGCACTGCATAGGTTCTATACATAGGGCAAATACAGTTACATCACCCTGAAGGAAAAGGTCATTTACATAACTCAGGAAGGCATCTGTATAATATGTCAACATTTTTCTTCATGCAGATGGGTTCTCTTTACAGCTTTGGCTTAGAAGATTCATTATGTGCCCAAACATTTTTCTCTAGGCAAACTGCAGCACCAACAGCCCTAACAGTGGCACCAGTCCCTCACCACGCTCCCGTAAACCCGGTGCCATCATTGAGAGCTTTGTCAACCATGCTCCGGGAGTTTTCTCAGGGACTTTTTCAGGTGAGATGACACTGAGCTGTCATTAAGATTTATTGCCACTCTAAGCAATAACCCTGCACACACTGAGCTCCACCTAGAAGCCTCTTCCATCAGAATTTCTACTTTGGACTTTTCCTTCTTTTTATTAAAAGCTGACCAGACTTTTATTGTAATACTCCTTCCATCTTTCTTGCTCCCTTTCTTAGGCACTTTGCACCCTAACTGCCAGGACAGCAATGGGCGCCCCAGACGAGATATCAGTACCATCCTGCAGATTCTCAATGACCTGCTAAGCGCCACACGTCACTACCAGGGCATGCCCCCCTCCCTCACCCAGCTCCGCTACCAGACCCAGTACGGTTCTCCCACCTCCCCGTCCCCTTCACCACCTCCTTCACCCCCAGTTTCTGGCATGACGGCCCTCTCTGCCAAAGCTACCTCTGTGCCTGCTGGAAGTCCTAGCAGCCCTCCGCCGACTCTACATCCACTGGTGCAGTGCCAGAGTCAGATCCGCATGTGCAAACCCCCTGGTGAGTGAATCTACTTCACACTCCCTCTGCTCAGGCAAGCATATCATGAACACAAACAGAAACACGCACACAGATGAAGACATTGTAGTTCCCTTGGAACTTGTGAAGCAGATGTTCCTGCAGTTGTCACAGTTTTGGCTTTGTGTATATGAAATCGGTGCAAAGTAGAGCCTGTAATTTTCCTGAGCCCTTTTTTCGCACTGCAACCTACTAAAGAATTCATTGTCATCTTTGGTTTTCTGTTTCTTAGCACATCATGGTTAGATATCAGTTCTGTTGGGATGATTTTGCATCATGGTCTTGTTTCATCTTTAAAATACTGACAAAGCAAAGACAGAAAAGTCAGATTAAAGAACAAAAACAGTCGTGTATATCTCTTCTGGGGTTTGAGGCAGAGGAGAAGAGGAAGAGACAGGAGAGGGGGGGGGAAGTCTTCTTAGTAATGCAGTACACATTTCTCCAGACCTGTTCAGTCAAGCTTCACTTGTCAGATAGCAGAGTTGGCTTTGTCTTTGTGCTCCAAGGAGATAGGTGTACCCCTTCAAGCCTGGGCTGGGCTATGTTTAGATTAGATTAGGCTTTGCATGACTTAACCTACCTCTTAAAGAAGGGCTGCATCTGTGGCATGTAAGGGCTGAACAAACCTCGACATACCTGTGCCCTAGGGCTGGGCTGGAGCAGTTGCTGGAGTTGAAATGATAATATTTAGGGACTGGGCATGGATGTTTTAAAACCTCCTTTCCTTGCAGAGACACAGGATGTTGTGTGTCACACAGATGTCCACAACTGATATAATTCAGTCAGTGTTGTAAGGTTACACGCTCTGTGCTGAGAGAAACAGCATTGTCCTGTGCTGCCTCCTTATTTCCTGTTAAGGACATCAAACTAGTCTTTGGTGAGCTGCTGGTAAATTTTGTCTGCCTGCAGAAGGTCTTGGAGTTCAGTGTTTAATGTTTTTTTTTTTTTTTTTAAGCAAGAGTGGACATTTCTGCTGCTGTACTTTAGCTTGTCAACTGCTTTATCACCTTCTGTTTCAAGCAGAGCATCATGTTGTTGCAGCTAGACACAGATTGACTGAGAATGTCCCAGTTTCACCTTGGCCTTATAAGTGTTCAGTAAACACTCTAAATAACACTGTTTTCCAGATTCAGGGAAGACCTCTATTGCTCCCACCTGCATTCTCCTACTCTCTGTCCCCTCGTTCTTCATCCGCACTAACAGCCTGTACTGCTGTTTCCCCTGTTCATTGTCCAGAAACAGCCTTGTCTGTAAAATCCATCTCTCTGTCTTCTGACTTATCACCCCTCCCCTTCTGTTTCCATGTCTGTGTTGTGCATCAGTGCATTGTCTGTGTTCATTTGGCCTTTATAGATTTATTCCAAAAATGTAGCTCTGAAAAGAATTTGCTTTGTGAAGTAGAGGGCAGTAAAAGGAAGGGAGGACACAGAAGACGGGGGTTGTTAAAACCAAACTGTAAGCCTCCATTCATTGCTTGGGTGTTTATATCCTGTCTGTCAGTCTACTAACTGTGAAATAATAAAAAAAGAATGGTTGAAAGAATAGCCTGTCTAATGCCCTTCTTCCAACTTTACTGCCTACATGCAATCTCCTTCTCATAATACACCCTTCCAGAAAGTGATGGGTAGCCATCACCAACCATGCATAGTTTAGCTCACTGAGACAATGAATGTGCTGCCGTGTCTGTGTGGACAGAGGCTGCGTGTCTATTTGTTTCCTGTTCCACATGATCTTCTAAGGAAGCCGATGACTAAGTGCTCACAGGCAGTCTTATCAGCTGAAACCTTATGGAAGACTTACTGGACTTAATGCTGCTGCTTAACTGTGCTTCACAGAAGCCTGCCTTCATTCAGCTGCAGGAACAAACTGCATTTCCCATCTGCCTGAATGTGTGTGTGTGTGCCCACAGTATAACTCAGGTTGAAACAACCGCTTGAAAATGTCACATAGCTTGGCTGTCTCGTGAGAGCCTGTACCCTTTTCACTGCAAGTTCATATGCGAGGGGGAGAAGACAAGCGTAAATAAAAAAGCTTGATCATATACACATGCACTTGCCCAGAATTGCCTGGTTAAGTGCCCTCTCACTCCCGGCCCAGCCAAAGCCATTGTGCAGGGGCCAGGGACAGGGGCTACATACAGGGCACCAGGCCGAGCCATTGTGGGGAAGATGAGGGGAGGGCTAGGGCTGCTTTTTAGTTCAACTTCCCCTGCAGCTCTCTTAGTTCACTGCAGGCACACAGAGAGGGGCAATGTTAGCTCAGTTAGCTCTGAAAGCATCTCCAGCACCCCACTCTTCTCTTCCACATCCCTTCACCCACCATTGCCCCCTTTTGTTTTGTCAGGTCATGTTAGTTTTATGCTGGCGGTGACTGGACAGGCCAAAGGGGGAGGGTGGCTGAGAGAGACACAGAGAAAGATCCAATGCGCTTAACCTCACTGAGTCCTGTATCTAAGCCCTGACCCGCTTGGCCAAGTCACTGCACATTATTCCCTTTCGTCACACATGGAGGTTTGGCGTGACACGTGCAGCGGTAACGCACAGCACAGAGCTATCTAGCAAAGGCAGCCATTCACATCAGGTGCCCTTTTCTTGTCGATGAGGCAAGCAAGAGAGAAGGCAACAATGCAAATGAAGTCTGAAAGTTGTTGAAGAGCTTGTGTCCCTGCAGGGCTGTCAGTGCCCCTTCACTGGTTGTCACAACATTCATATTAGGTTCCATTTGATTGGTCGCTTTAGTTTATGTCTGATTAGTTGGTTTCATTTTGTGAGGGTGAAACTGGAGAGCTTGTTTGTTCACCGATAACTCAGAGTGCTTCCTCTTTATCTCTGGGCATCGAGCCATTGTTCCTGAACTGCATGACTTTGATGGATCAGAAGGATGTGAAGTGTTTGGTCTGATTTGATGGAGATCTGTTTATTTTTCCATCCACCTAGCCACTGAAAGAAAGAAACACAACCTGCTTCATGTTTAGCAGTTACTACTGTACTGTGGCAAAGTTTGAAAAATGTCACAATATTATGGGGCAGTTTTGAACCTGTTCACCTGATGACAGCTGCAATATTTTCCCATACAATAATATTGTGACAGCTAAACCTAGACATTTGGATTTGACTTACAAAAACACTCTCTCACCTCTTGACTCACACGTTCATATTTCATCACATGATTTTAGTGGCTTCAAAAACTGCAGGTTATGCTAATGCTCGAAGAAACCAAGGCTGACTTCGCTGCAATGTGATTTTATTTCCTCTTCTTCCTTTTTCTTTCTCTCTGTCCACCCCTCCCCTTTCCCTGGTTCCCTGGATGCTGAGCAAACACAATGTTCTCTCTGTAAGATCACAAGACTTATCAAGGCAAACAAACAAACAACAACACTAAGACAACTGCAAATGAAGGCCAATCTTTATACAATCAATAAAAGAAGAAGCTCCTTTAATCTCCCCCTGCATCCTGTACACTGCAGCCCTCCTCCCTTTTTTTTTTCTACCTCCATCCTCTGGCTCTCCTCCTACATCCACCCACTCCTCCCACCCTCCCTCCTGTGTGCTCCCTATCTCCGTCCTCGCTGTGTTGCTGGGCTGGGCTCAAAGGCAAGGAAAACTGACTGACGCATCGATTATTCATAGATCACCCCTTCTTTCTCTCTCGCCGTCTGTCTTTCTCTGCAGTGCTTCACAAAGCATATACACATATTTACAGGTCTTGTGTCAAAGTCTTCAGAGGGGAGAGTTTGGGGATGGAAAAATGTGCTGCTCAGGTTTAAGTTTTGGTGTGATTGGCAGGCAGGGGAGGGGTAAAAAGAGAGGAAGAAAAGACTGGTGTTTCCTCCCTCTTTGTGCAAGTGACCTGCCTTCTGTTGGACATCTTCCACTGTGCACTTCTAAGAAATGATCAATTGTTGCCTCCTCATCTGTCTTTTCTGTGTCATGCAGGGTTGTATATGAGCATCTCTTCTCTCTCTCTCTCTCATTCGTTCTCTGTGTGTCTCACCCCCCTCTCTCTGGGTGCTCTAAGGTTATTGTGCTCACGTCAAACCGTAGTCTCTGCCGCCAGGCTACAGGCCAGCCTGCATGTGTGTGTGTGTGTGTGTGTGTGTATAGTCTGTCCTTCTTAGGCAGCCCTAATAATAGCCCTACTGTCATAAACATAGTCTGGAGATCCCTGCGGCCAGCTGTGTCCAGCCCAGCTACCCAGGGCTCCGGTAGTGATGCTGATGAATGGCCCCACACACACACACATACACCAAGCTTGGTGTAGCTCCAAGCACATTCCTAGAGCTCTTGCCAAGCCAAACTCCAAGAGCTCCTACAGCACCACCAAACTACCCTTTGCACCATGTGTATCTATTTGTTCTTAGGGTTTCTTAGTAAATGTTCCTCTGGAAAACGGAATGATGAGAATTTATAGTGTGACACTCCAAAGGCAAATTGTACCAGACTGATTTTGTCTGTAGGCATGTGTTGGCTTTGTGCTGTTTCATTGTGTACCGCCATATTTCGACACAGGCAAGGGGCGGTTTCGCCTTTGGCTAGCGAGAGTGGGGGAATAAGGGGAAGAGGGAGGACCAGAGGGGGAACAAAGCCTTCTGGCAGCGTATATGGATGTCACATGGAGCTAAGGCAGCGGACACAATGGCTCTAATGTAGGAGAACCCTCTGATGTACCGCCTCTTCTCCAAAGATGACATGCTACCCTCATACACAGACCACACTGCATCTGGATGCACACACATACATTTGTAACATATTGGCAGGAAGTGGGAAAACCCCCAGTTTTTTTCTGTGGCTGAGTGTAATGAGGGAGTATTCTTCTCTGCTAACTTAATGCCACTAGAACATCCTTTCTGCTTTCAGAAAGCAGCATTAAGGCTGCTTGATGGCAGTTTAGTTCTTTAGTATGCACTGCCAGACAGTGGGCAATATTTATAGCTGGAGAAAAGGCTCTGTGCTGCTCAATTCGATAAGCAAATGAGGGAAAGTGGTAAATTAAGCCCACACAGAGTCCAGAATTCATTCCGATGAGGTTGAAGAGCAGAGGAGGGCCCAATCGATTTGGGAAAACTGCCACCTACGGCTGATCCTTTACCCTCTACCCTCTTCCTTTGTATCCTCCCTTGCCCCTGGGGGAGGAATTCCTTAACCCACACCGGCATCCCCCTTCTCTTCCCTCCCTCCTTCTTCACACTGCCCCACCTATCTGTCTCTAGGGAGACAGGGAGCTAGAGGAGCAGGGGGCCCCTCTGTGTGTGTGTGTGTGTGTGTAAGGGGTGAAATGGGTGGAAGAGGTGAGGGAAAAGAGAGAAGGGTGGGGGCTTAATAAAAAAAAAAATAGAAGAAAAAACCCAATCTCTCCCTGTCTCTCTCTACTTACAATTTCCATTCACTTTCATTTTCTATTGAAAGCCAATAGCATTGTCCTGGGCCTGAGATGGATGGCTGCACTAGAGCTAAGGTTTAATCAATAGGTCTTTTTAATTTGCCATCGATCCACGTTAAAAGCTACTGCGGCTGTTGCTGATGCTGTGTGTGCGTGTGTGTGTTTGGGTGCGTGTGCTTGTGTGTGTTTATATGTGCATGGGTGTACACACTGTGTATGTGTTTTTGTGTGAAAACATTATGTACTCGAATGCAGATTTGAGTGTCTGTGTGTGCTTCGGTGTGCAGCAGAGGCCGAGATGGCCGCTGTGCTTCGGTTTATTGACATTCTAGCCCATTATTTAATTATTTAATTCCCAGACAGATACTAATGGAGCTGGCTAATAGATTGTGGTTGCTTTCCCTTCCTTCCAAGCTCCTGAATATATGCATAAATGGAATTAGGCTTGAATCAGCCCCTGTAGGAAAGCATTCACAGTGCTATGCAAGGCCTCTGCCTTGAGGCTGGATTCTCCTATAGGCACATCAACAGCTAGAAATGCACTTAGGAGCACATGCGGTCATCATGGCATGTCATCTGCAATTATGTGTTCAGATATCATAGGCAGCTCTAACATTGTGCCATCTCTGCCTTGTGTGCCTGCTCAACTCACATACAGTACTAACATACACACACAAATAATACATACTGACATGCTTTTCAAACCTGTCGGTGTGAAATCTGTTGATTCTAAATGTACTAGCCATCATATAAAAAGAACTCCCTGTATAAACCCTTTCTCTTCTCTCTCTCCAGGTGACCGTATGCGCCAGACCGAGAACCGTGCAACTCGCTGTAAGGTGGAACGTCTGCAGCTGCTTATGCAGCAGAAGCGCCTGCGCAGGAAGGCCAGGAGGGACCAGCGTGCTCCTTATCAGTGGCTGCCCAACCGCAAGGCAGGACGCAGCAACAGCAACAGCAGCATGTCCAGCGAGGGCTCCCTTGACCTGGACTTTGATGATTCGGTGTGGAAGCCCGACGTCAAGGCAGACTTGAAGTCTGAATTCGTCATGGCCTGAGCCATCTGATCCCTCATGCTAGGGGTTAGATTCAAAGATGTGCAAAGCATTGCTTGGGATTTACTTAGCGATATCTCTGAGGGAGTTGACTGGCAGGAGATGACACAAAACTGGTCAAAAACAGAATTTGTCCTTGTGACTGGCATCTGTCATATGAAAAAAAGACTCCCTGCAGACTTTAATCCCATATTGTCCTTCAAAGATGACCTTGTGAACAGCAACGATAGCAGCAGAACTTCCTTGTGATGCTTTGACTCGGACAGGCAACAACCGGACTTAACAATGTACAAGACTTTGTAGGGTATGACCACAGAGACCATACCTGAACTTGAGCATAGCAGAATTCAGTGGGTGGTGGTGGTATTTTCAGATTTTGTTTTGAAGGTTGTTTTTTTTTTTTTTTCAAGCACACTCTGGACAGCAATGAAGAGATCCACTGGCCTCAGTGTTTCCTAACCACAAGAAAGGCAGAACTGCAGAACTATGGATGATTATCCAATGGGCATTCTTTATCAATCTCAAGCAGAGAGCCAACCAGAGTACAGTTTTTACCTGTTATGGGGTGGTTATACTTGTTTTTCTGTTTTTGTTTTTCATTTTGAAACATATTATATTTTATAAACAATAATATGTAGCATTGTTCACAAAGCATTCAGGTTTTCATATAACAGTTCAAAATAGTGGTTGATTTGCACATTTTCCTGATTTATAACAGCTGGTCACAGTGTGCAAAAAGGTGGAGTTGGGGCCTGAAATAGAACAAAAAATGAATATGGAAGTATTGATATCAACCTCAGTGACATAGGGTATTGATAGGAATGACTAATGAATAAACAAAAATGAATTAATATTAACAGAAAGTGCTTTAGAGGATTTTAAAATCTTTAAAATGTATATGGAAAAAGCATATCTATTTTTATTTCTCTTCCTATCTGCTGTTTTCAAAAAACAGCAGCCCTCTGTGGCTTTAGTCAAGTTGTTGACTACCAACAAATACATCCATTCAGTCAGTCATTAACTCATTCATGAATTATAGTCATCTAGCCACAACAAATGATACGCAAAGATAATTTTTATCCCACCCGCCTCATGTCATACAGACCTAAATGGACTTGTTGAGGGTTTGTATTGGTTTGTGTACATAAATGTGAAACTTGGCAAAGGTTTATGAGGGTGCGTGTATGTTTGACTTTAGTGTAAATTGATTTAGAACATCTTGTGTTTTGTCTGAGTTGTCTTTTCCTAAATGATAGTTTCCCAAATCATGAAGATCAGCTGAACTGCAATGAATGCATGGGTCACTACTTTAGAGCGTAACAGGATCACAAAACAGGATTGATTCTCAGTTCTCGGCCCTACGTCCTTATGATAACAACTCTATTTTTTATTGGCAAAGAGGGAGAAGAAATGGAATCTGTATCCAGCATCATTATAGTGCCTCCACCAGTACATCCATTGACATATCAGGTTAGGCCTTTCACAGCTTTGCTGCTACACATGAGAATTTCAAATGGGGAAAAAAAAGGAAAAGTGACTTTTCTTTGCATGCAGAAGGGTGATATTACACAATTTTTTCTATTGATGGAAGAAAAAAGAAACTGGTGCTGTAGGAATGAAGGTTAACAACATGCATGAACTTGTGAAGAAAATAAACAATGCTGCTTTTGTTGGTTAGGTTTTTATAACTTTTATTTCTCAATGTTAGAACAACAGTGTCCTGCTAAAGTGTTACAACACAAAACCAAAACAGACAAAGTTAAATGTGGACTCACAACTTGCTCAGCACTGAACATTCCTGGTGTGTGACAATGAAGATGATGATGAGCAAAGAGCAACGGACTCTCTTTCCACTCCCCAAACACTGATTTTTACCCCCATGGCACTCAAAGGACCCAGGCAGCCTAGGAACTGTTTTCCTCCATTCCTCCCAGCCTGAACCAACAACCGAGGCTCACGCGGATGTATTCGCAGGGAACCAACAGACCAGTGGATTTACAGTACTGTCCCTCAGACCTGCTCGAGACGGGAATCTGGTCTTGTCTCTATCTATCTATCTGTCTGTCTGATTGATGACCACCTTACCACAATTGCACTCCCAGAGATTGCAGTGAGAGATTACCTTTTTGGTGAACCTCATCTTTTTTTTTTTTTAAGTGGCCTTACCTTTCACTAAAAAAAGTGAGACACTTGGGGACAATGGGGATTTTTTTTCTCTAAACTTTCTATGTGTATCATTGTCAGTCTTGTTGCCATCAAGGCGCAATTTTTGTCACTGAGGACACTGGGCATCTGTTGTTTAGTGCTTTTAGCTGGTGGAGTCTCTATTATGTCAAGGCTTCTGTGCCTTAAAAATGTTGCCCTTGCAGTGTCAGTGTCAGGTTCAAGCTTGTTTTCATTGGTTGATACACATGACTGTAGTATTTGCAGCCACGAGGGTCATAGATTTTAGGGGTAAAGCTTGTTTGAGTGAATTGAATGCTAGTCAAATGTAGGTGTTGTTCCTCAAATGCTGTCTTTGTCCCATTTATTCACTGTGTTGCCATGCTTGTTGATCTTTGTTGTCTGAAACTCACATCCCTCTTAACTCAGTCCTCCCACCAACAAGCTGCAAAAAAAGCTACAAATCTGTGTAACTTATGTTAACTGAAGACGTTTACACCACAGTACTTAGATGACGAGAAACAGCCCTGATTCAGTATAAGAAAGATCCTCTGAGGACTCCAGACTAGATGCACTTCCTGTTTCCTTGGATACAACATTATTAAATGACAATTCATCCCCTTCCCCTCCCAAATATTTAATTTTTTTCCTTTTGTATATGTATGAACTATACTCTGTGTGTGCCTCACTTCTGTGTGAAACTCAAAAAGATGAAACAAAACAAAAAAGACAAAAGCATTACAGAGAGGATTAAAAAAAACAGTATTTTGGTGGATCACATCTTTTAAGTTGCCTGTTCTTTCTTGTAGCCGACTATTGAAAATAACAGGATTCAAGAATACAATTTACAATGTTCTAGCTCTAGACCGGTGTAGCACATGTGTGACTATTAATTTATGAAACCAAAATGGTAACTGTGAATTATGTATTTCTTTGTGCATTTTTTTAAAGCAGGGGAGAAGGTTGTCAGGGCAAGGTGTCAAGCTGATGCTCATGTCCGGAAAAAAAAAACAACAACAACTTTGTTTTTGGTGGGATACAGTGGAAACAACAGCTGTTTCCAAAAAAAAAGAGGAAAAAAAAGGAAAAAATTGGAAAAAAGGAGAGAAAAACAAAAATATGAATATATTTTTTTTTCTTAAGCAATACATTTCAGTGTGACTTGTGATAGAACGTTTTCCTTTTTTTAGGTAACAAATAAATAAAAAACAAAGTGATTACATCAGGTTGTCTCAGTGCATATTCATTACTCACCCATTCAATAACACTGCATGAAAGCTGCTATTCAGCCTTATGTTTCATGTGAGACTATTTCATGAAGTAACATGATGTGAAAATTTTATGAAAGTTTTCAGAATTGCAGTGGAAAAATATTTCCTTCCACTATATCAAAAGCCAGTGTAATTGATGATTAGATGATTGGTGAACCATCTCCACTGGATTACTAAACACAGCTCCTCTCCATCATGTCTTTCACTGGAAAGTTGAATGACTCAGAATATGGGAGTCCTGGTCACATGGTTTTGCTTCTAATTTTGAAACAATTCCAGTATTATGTGCTAAAACAAAGCAAGATCAGAGATGTATTCTTTAGTAAATATGTCTGTGCAGATTACTGAGTTTCAGGTTTAGTTTAGACTTTTGGTTAATCTATGAAATGTTTCTGAAAAGACTCAGGGTTTGTGTGTGTGTGCAGGGGGGGCATTAAGTAAACTGAAATCTTCTCCAGATCGGTGAGTGCAGACCAGCTGAGGATGAGATGGAATATGGAAGTGAAGTGACAGACTGGAGAAGGAGAAAGAGCTGTGCCTCGTGTGAAACCTGCTTCCTGGCACTTGTACTTACAGCAAGAGGTGTTTTGAAGCAGCACTTGTAGCTCTCTCCTTTTGTAACCAGCAAGGCTGAGAACAGTTTGACTTAAAGCATCAAGAAATAGCTTGAAAAAGGGACTGAACATGAAAGGACTGCATGTCAAAGCATCGCTCAGAAAGGGCACCAATAACAGCATACACACTGAGAGAAGCTACAACTTAGCTTGATAGCAGACACTTGCTTCAGCACTTCATTTTGAGTTGCTATAGTGATCTTTTAGGTGATAATAAGTCATCGTGATGCTCATTTTAAAGTAAAACTGAATTAACTCTTATTTAAACGTAGACTGACATATTACACATCTCTTACTGAGGCAAAAATGAGCAGCTTAAAAACTTGTATCTTTGATATTTACCAAAAACACTGTCAGTAATTACACTTTAAAAAGCCATGTATTAAAGCCCGAGAGGCCAAGTACCCTGTGCTGTGTATACCTTCATTTTGATAAAGACCAAGGACTAGAAATGTGTCCCTTGCCCTCATGCCTGGCCTCCCTTCCAGTTTCTGCAGAGATGATTCTAGTAATGAAAGCCAAGCCTCCTACTCAGTGGCCTTCTGCATATAAGCAAACACACACTCCTCTCTGTCTGCGGCCTGTGTGGAACGCAGGACCCACAAAGTTTGGTAAGGGAAGTCCAATGAAAGGAGATTATCAGTGAGAGCTCATTCATTGATTAGCTCATCAGTGGCCGATGGGCCTCCACTTCCCTGAAACCACAGAGACTGATGAATTTGTGGGTGTCAGTTTCTGTCCACAGCCACCATGATTATTTTAACTCTGAGAGCTGTTTTGACATTAAGCTACACAAAAGGATTTCTGAATTTGAATCTCAGCACAGATGTGGACTTAAAAGTAGACCTAAAATGTAAATAACTAAAAAATAATACAAATGGGACAGCATTTATTTCTGAAACACAGAAAATATTGTTCTGGACGTTCACTGACCTTTTCTTGAATATTTAGTGGAAACTTAAAACCAGTTTGGGATACTTGTTCACATGCATGTCTCATTTGTTTATGTTTTACTTATGATGATGTTTACAGTGGGGACAGCTACCTATTACTATAACACCAGCCAGGATAAGGCTGGTGTTATTCTGATGTGTTTCTCTTAGCAAATACTATAAAAGTGAGTCAAGAGTGCTGCTCTCAGTCCCAACCTAATTTGTTCCAATATTCCAATGTTTCAACATACATCTTAAAAAAAAAGGGTCAATAATTCCTCAAAACAGCTGGGCAGAGTAATGTTTTCAGTAAACATTACTCAGTCAGAGGTCACTAGAGAATTTGTTGGTGAATACTTTTATTTCCGGATGAATACACACTTGTACAATGGTGTTGTGGGAGTGGGAATAATTTCAGATATTAACACTAAACATTCTCTATTTTGACTGATGTTTCAAAATCTAATTTTATGGCATTACACTATAACAAAAGTGAGACTTAGCTTCCTAAGACTGAAGCATATAACCGCAATAAACAACTACCAAGTAACAAAAAAATTAAAAAAAATTGATGAATAGAGCTTTGCATAGCATATTTCTTAGACCCCACATCATCTATTACAATCATGAAACGTAGAATGTGGTGGATATTATTTATCTCTTACATAATCTACAGTGTCCATGTTTGTGTAATGAAGTAATGAAAGAATAGGCAGTGCATTCATGTGGTTAATTAATGCATTTTTAATAGTTTCTGGCTTTGGATATACAAACAAATCATGTAAGTAGTATCAATTAATTGTTGTTGTGCATGAAAAATTTGGCTGATGATAAGAAAAGTATATAATACTACAAGTCTTATCTTTTGTCCAAAACCCCCCAAAAAAATATGGCAGAAAAAATAAAGAGAGAACCAAAAATGATCATGTTTTCCATTAGGGGAGGCCCAAACAAAATAAATCACAAGTGAATTTGACACATATTTACACTGTATATAGCAGGTATTGCTACCAGACTCCTCTTACACTGATTCTGAACTTTTTGACTGTTGTCTGTTCACTGAGCATAAAGAGTGGCAGCACACACATTCTCACGGCTTCCAGTCATACTGCAACTATCAAGAACCTCTTCTGAGAAGTCACTGCCTATTTATGACTGCATCTGACTGTCAGTCTCAGCCTCCACACTTATCTACTGCTTTCTGCAAGCTTGCTGTCTGTGGATGTAACTGTCTTTAGAGAAAGAAAAGAACAGAGAGAATGAAAGAGAGACAGCAGCAGGAGACAGACAGAGGGGAGAAGGAGAGAGGCTCAGCTGCCACCGCAAACTGAAACCCTGCGGCTCTGGGATCGAGAGGAGTTCCGCAGAGCTGGGGTTTCACACGTTGTTGTGTGATCTAAGATAAGACATGCTCAGCTGTATCCTCCCTTCACTTAAAAACACACACACAAGCATAACGGAAAATATTCCAGGATGTCATGTTGCAAGAAAGCGAGTTTGTCATAATGATAGTTCATAACACTTATGTGTACTCACCTGTGTTTGTGTGTTCATGTGTGTTGAGTGCATATGTGCACACGTTGGTTCAAAACCTCTGAAAGATGGAGGTACTTTTTTCAAAAAAGTACAAAAAATTGGTGGATCTATTTGCTGAGATGTAAAAATGTGTATGTAAATGTATGCTTGTATATTTCAGAATCACAGTCAGACAAATTTTCAAGGAAACCCCTGTTTTATGTGACTTTATCATTTGCTAATATGATGCAACACTTGGGGATTTTTAAGAAATTGTTGGAGATTTTGGGAAATAATCTTTTTCTCTTTCTGTTTGAGGGTTAGATGAAAAGATTGACAGTGTACAATTTCTACAGCCTACCTATATGGTAAATATGAAACTACAGTCCAGAAATGGTTAGCTTAGCCTAGCATAAAGAAAATCAAATCTGGCTCTGGCTAAAGGTAACAAAATTTGCCTATCAATAGCCCTAATAATGAACAAACTTGCATTTGTTTTATTCATACAAAAACTGAGCTAACAGGCAGTAAGCTAGTTCCTGGCCGGTCTTATCTAACTTTTGATAACAAAGTGAGTACATTTATATCCCATAAATGTGAACAGTTTTTTCAAGTAGTCTACCTTTTAACTTGTCTTTATTGTATCATCATATGACAACATATTGTTTGATGTTTTAGCTTCTTCATCTTTGTCTTTCAATGGCGTCCTCTATGTGTAAGCCATATTTAGCTGAAGACATCACCCAATGCTGTAGAAAACAATGTTGCCATTAGAGGTGTACCTTTTAAGGCTAAAACAGCTTTTAATGCTACTGTGTCAAAACATTGCTGTTCCCACCAAACCCTCCATTTTCCTCTCTTTCTACATTTTGTTTTCATGCATTTTGCTTTTTTGCTTAAGTAGGTGCTTTTATCATTTTACATAAGGAAAGCAAACAACCTCTTTTCTTTGATGAAAGTCCCATCTGCACAAGAGATTAATGAAGCGAACACCCTGAGGTTGCATTTTCTTCAGATAAGGGTATAAACATCAGAGCTCGGCCTTACAGCCTCCTCCTCTGGAAGACCCAGGGCTGTTCGTATGGTCAGCAGGGACCGTGTTGTCTTTTGTCTATTTTTGTTTGTTTCCTACAAACATTACCTGATGGATATTTATGCAGCTGTGAGGCTGTGAAAAGAACCTTTGATATCTTTTTCAGGCTCCACACACACACACACACACACAAACATACAGACAATTCCTCTGTGAACCCCTGAACAAGCCATCACTGGGCCATTGCAGGACAAGTGAACGCACACATGCACACATTACACTCAGAGGTGTTCAGCTGTCTATCCCCATCAGCGTGGAGCTGGCCTCAGAGCCTGACTCCATGACCCAGGGGGAAGTGGCGAAGAGGTCATGGTTAAAATAAACCCTAGAAACTGGATAAACAGGATGTGTACACCCACCTAGACATATGGCACTCTCTAATCAAACACCACTGAGAAGGGAGAAAAGAAGTAGAAATCATCTCTGTGGAAACCATGAACACACAGTGGTAGTACAAACCTACTATACTCTAATATAAGTGGATAAAGCTGCGTAGCAACAGAAGCAGCTCCTGGAGCTCAGAGAGGGTGCTCTCTCATCAGTTGTACTGTGATTTATTTTAAGACAAATACTTGTGAGAGTAAATTATAGATGTCATACAACAAATGGAGTTTCCTGTCACCCACTGCAGACAACCATTATGCACTGATACTATGAGTGATTAAACACATTTGTTGGTCACTTATCAGGCAGATGCCTTGTATTACTGCCTCCACTCGTGTTAGGATGAAAACTAGCCTACTATATTTTTGTATATTTCCAGTAC